CTGAAAATTGCTGTGCAGCAACGCTCCCCATCCAACCTGACAGAGCTTGAGAGGATCAGCAGGGAAGAATTGGAGAAACTCCCCAAATACAGGTGTGCCAAGCTTGTAGCGTCACACCCAAGAAGACTCGAGGCTGTAATCGCTGCCAAATGTGCTTCAACAAAGTACTGAGTAAAGGGTCTGCATACTTATGTAAATGTGATATTTCAGTTTTTTATTTTTAATAAATTAGCAAACATTTCTAAAAACCTGTTTTTGCTTTGTCATTATGGGGTATTGTGTGCAGATTGATTACATTTTACATTTACGTCATTTAGCAGAAGCTCTTATCCAGAGCGACTTACAAATTGGTGCATTCACCTTATAGCCAGTGGGATAACCACTTTACAATATGTTTTTTTTTTTTGGGGGGGGGGTAGAACCTACAGGATCGGGTCACCGCCTTGATGTTAGTGGAGAACGACAGGGTGTTGTCCAGGGTCACGCCAAGGCTCTTTGCACTCTGGGAGGAGGACACAACGGAGTTGTCAACCGTGATGGCGAGATCATGGAATGGGCAGTCCTTCCCCGGGAGGAAGAGCAGCTCCGTCTTGCCGAGGTTCAGCTTGAGGTGGTGATCCGTCATCCACACTGATATGTCTGCCAGACATGCAGAGATGCGATTTGCCACCTGGTTATCAGAAGGGGGAAAGGAGAAGATTAGTTGTGTGTCGTCTGCGTAGCAATGATAGGAGAGGCCATGTGAGGATATGACAGAGCCAAGTGACTTGGTGTATAGCGAGAATAGGAGAGGGCCTAGAACTGAGCCCTGGGGGACACCAGTGGTGAGAGCACGTGGTGCGGAGACAGATTCTCGCCACGCCACTTGGTAGGAGCGACCTGTCAGGTAGGACGCAATCCAGGAGTGAGCCGCGCCGGAGATGCCCAACTCGGAGAGGGTGGAGAGGAGGATCTGATGGTTCACAGTATCAAAGGCAGCAGACAGGTCTAGAAGGACAAGAGCAGAGGAGAGAGAGTTAGCTTTAGCAGTGCGGAGAGCCTCCGTGACACAGAGAAGAGCAGTCTCAGTTGAATGACCAGTCTTGAAACCTGAGTGGTTTGGATCAAGAAGGTAATTCTAAGCGAGATAGCAAGAGAGTTGGCTAAAGACGGCACGCTCAAGAGTTTTGGAGAGAAAAGAAGAAGGGATACTGGTCTGTAGTTGTTGACATCGGAGGGATCGAGTGTAGGTTTTTTGAGAAGGGGTGCAACTCTCGCTCTCTTGAAGACGGAAGGGACATAGCCAGCGGTCAAGGATGAGTTGATGAGCGAGGTGAGGTAAGGGAGAAGTTCTCCGGAAATGGTCTGGAGAAGAGAGGAGGGGATAGGGTCAAGCGGGCAGGTTGTTGGGCGGCCGGCCGTCACAAGTCGCAAGATTTCATCTGGAGAGAGAGGGGAGAAAGAAGTCAAAGCATAGGGTAGGGCAGTGTGAGCAGGACCAGCAGTATCATTTGACTTAACAAACGAAGATCGGATGTCGTCAACCTTCTTTTCAAAATGGTTGACGAAGTCATCCACAGAGAGGGAGGAGGGGGGAGGGGGAAAAACTATTTAATCCATTTTAGAATAAGGCTGTAACGTAACAAAATGTGGAACAAGTCAAGGGGTCTGAATACTTTCCAAATGCACTGTATATACTCCAGCTATGACAGTAAAATAAAATAACTGACACATAGAGCTCCAGTCAGTTTTTGAACAGGTAACCAGCAATAGGCTGGTGCTAAATATCTCAAAAACTAAACTTCATCTAGATCTATTACTGAATAATGTGGCGATTGAGCAAGTTGAGGAGACTAAACTGCTCGGTGTAACCCTAGATAGAAAGCTGTCATGGGAAGAGGTCTGTCTATGATAAGGCGTTGCTCTACTTTCTTGACATCTAATTAACCAGGCAGGTCCTATGGGTCCTAGTTTTGTCACACTTGCACTACTGCCCAGTTGTGTGGTCATGTATGGCAAAGAAACACATAGGAAAGTTGCAGTTGGTCCCGAACAGAGCAGCACGTATTGCACTTAGATGTACACGGAGGGCGAATGTCAATGGTATACATGTCAATCTCTCCTGGCTCAAAGTTGAGGAGAGATTGACTGCATCACTATTGGTCTTTGTGCGACTTGTTGATGGGTTAAAGGTACCGAACTGTCTGTTCAAGCAGTTGGCACACAGTTCGGACACTCATCGGTACCACACAAGAAATGCAGCCAGAGGTCTCTCTTCACAGTCTGCAGGTCCAGAACAAAGGCTGGGTAATGCACAGTATTAAATAGAGCCATGACTACATGGAACTCTCTGCCACCCCAGGTAACTCAAGCTTGCAATAAAACCAGATTAAAAGAAACTGATAGAACACCAGTGGCCAGGGCCGTGGAGACACTGGAGCCGGGCCGTGGAGATGGAAACACAAAAGTCTGAGCCATTTGGGTAAAACACTGGGGTAAGTCCTTAGTGGAAATATGCCATATATGGGATGAGATCTTATAGTGTTTTTTCTCTATTCTATTCCCGTGCTCTTCGATCCGGCTTTGTTATAATGAGCAGCCCAAAAAAGGTACAAGAATTTCATTTAAATTAAGGCAGTTAATGTATGCCTACAATTAAGTTACAATAAAGTTATTCCTAGCCAAATGACTCCAAAACATTGTCTCGATTGTTATATTGTGATTGGCAGACTAAATAGCCTTGGTTTCTCAAATGACTGCCTCGCCTGGTTCACCAATTACTTCTCAGATAGAGTTCAATGTGTCAAATCGGAGGGCATGTTGTCTGGACCTCTGGCAGTCTCTATGGGGGTGCCACAGGGTTCAATTCTCGGACCGACTCTATTCTCTGTGTATATCAATGATGTCGCTCTTGCTGCTGGTGACTCTCAGATCCACCTCTATGCAGACGACACCATTTTGTATACACATTTACAATTACATTTTAGTCATTTAGCAGACGCTCTTATCCAGAGCGACTTACAGTTAGTGAATACATATTTTTTTTATACTGGCCCCCCGTGGGAATCAAACCCACAACCCTGGCGTTGCAAACGCCATGCTCTATCAACTGAGCTACATCCCCTGGGCCAATTGTGCGCCGCCCATGAGTCTCCCGGTCGCGGCCGGCTGCGACAGAGCCTGGATTCGAACCAGGATCTCTAGTGGCACAGTTAGCACTGCGATGCAGTGCCTTAGACCACTGCGCCACTCAGGAGACGCCTGGCTCTTCCTTGGACACTGTGTTAACAGACCTCCAAACGAGCTTCAATGCCATACAACACTCCTTCCGTAGCCTCCAACTGCTCTTAAACGCTAGTAAAACTAAATGCATGCTCTTCAATCGAACGCTGCTTGCACCCGCCTGCCTGACTAGAATCACCACTACTCTCAGCAGGTCTGACTTAGAATATGTGGACAACTACAAATACCTAGGTGTCTGGTTAGACCGTAAACTCTCCTTCCAGACTCATATTAAGCATCTCCAATCCAAAGTTAAATCTAGAATCGGCTTCCTATTTCGCAACAAAGCCTCTTTCACTCATGCTGCCAAACATGCCCTCGTAAAACTGACTATCCTACCGATCCTTGACTTCGGCGAATAGCCTCCAACACTCTACTCAGCAAATTGGATGTAGTATATCACAGTGCCATCCGTTTTGTCACCAAAGCCCCATATACTAATCACCATTGTGACCTGTACGCTCTCGTTGGCTGGCCCTCACTACATATTCGTCGCCAAACCCACTGGCTCCAGGCCATCTATAAATCACTGCTAGGCAAATCCCCGCCTCATCTTAGCTCATTGGTCACCATAGCAACACCCACCCGTAGTATGCGATCCAGCAGGAATATCTCACTGGTCATCCCCAAAGCCAACACCTCCTTTGGCCGCCATTCCTTCCAGTTCTCTGCTGCTAATGACTGGAATGAACTGCAAAAATCTCTGAAGCTGGAGACTCTTATCTCCCTCATTAACTTTAAACATCAGTTGTCAGAGCAGCTTACCGATCATTGCACCTGAACACAGCCCATCTGTAATTAGCCCACCCAACTACCTCATCCCCATATTGTTATATATTTTGCTCATTTGCACCCCAGTATCTCTGTTTGCACATCTTCTTCAGCACATCTATCACTCCAGTATTAATACTAAATTGTAATTATTTTGTACTGTGGCCTATTTATTGCCTTACCTCCATAACTTACTACATTTGCACACACTGTATATAGATTTTCTATTGTGTTTTTGACTGTATGTTTTGTTTTATCCCATGTGTAACTCTGTGTTGTTGTTTTTATCGCACTGCTTTGCTTTATCTTGGCCAGGTCGCAGTTGTAAATGAGAACTTGTTCTCAACTGGCTTACCTGGTTAAATAAAGGTTAAATTTAAAAAATGCAGTGCCCACAACTACCCTAGCGCCATTGTGGGTACGAAGGTGCTGCAGGGACTTGTCTGAGCAGTAGAGTACATCACGGCCTGAGGAGTAGGACCATGCTCCACCTCTGGCCATCTGCCAGACACACAGAGAGAGAGGAGGAGGGTTGTACACACAGTGCTCTTTCGGAATGCATTACCCCCGTTTCTACTTCCTAGATAGTGACAGAGAGACAAAGATAGTTTAAAGAGACACCATTTTTAACTCAGGATTGCTGACCAACCTACGACACACACACCTGCGGACATACTCAGTATACAAACATGCAGTTGAGGATTCCTTGAGCCTGTCACCACCTCTGCCTCCTCTGTGACTCTTGGTCATGGCTGTAGTCGTTTGGGGAGTCACTGTGCTGTGGGTGAGGAACGCTGCAGTACCACAGTGGAATGCAGACATGTCTCTGGGACTGGACAAAGACGCACCAGGCAATGTGCTCTTCTAATACTGGACACTTGAACTTAACAGTTGAACTCACAAACCAGGTACTGTGAATAACTTTTCTGGAGCAGGATTTTTTCCTTGGAAAATAGTCTACTTTGAAAATGTCTAAAAGTTGTCAGATCCATCTCAATGCTCCACTGGTGACAGCGGGACCGTGGAGGAGGAACAGCGAAGTAAGTACTCAGGTAGATTAGTCACACCTCTGACAGAGAGCTCTTATTTTGATTGTCTGAAGTATTAGGACTAGAGTAAGAATTAAGGGTTTATTCTCATTGAATAGAGTTATCGGGTTGAAATGTCAATTTACATAATATGTACATACACTTTTCAATTCACATTAGTGACGGGAATGTCACGAGCGGAGAGAGGATTCGGTTTACTTTCTTGCTTCACAGCTCAATAGTACCTTAAATGTCACAGTAGCCACTAGCCAGGAGGCTAAGCATCGCAAACTATATTAGGCCTACACTCTTAATTATTAGAACAGAACCATATCACACTCTTGAATAATACAACAATTCACAAGCATGTGCAGAATGTTAAAGTAATATTTATCTTCTGTACACTCATTACATTTTAGCTTCAAGACAAAAGCACAGAGTTACTACTAACTAAAGCTAACAAAATGTCTTCATTAAGTAATATTAGCCTATCAAAAATGAATGATTTAACCCTCTCATATTAATATAAAAGTACAGTAGGCCTACCTTACAACATTACAACAAACCATGCTACATTTTTATCAAGGGATCGTAACTCATAGCAGTCATTACTCATTAGCTACCATGCATGTGTCAGGGAAAGCGCCCGTTCTCACCTCTCACTGCTCGCATGCTGAATTAGACAGGGAAGAAGACGAGGACCGTTGTTTGTAGATTTAGTTCAAAGAGCCCATTCAGGGCACTTTCTTTTAGATGTGAAGCTTGGGTTATTGCCGGTTCAAATCCAGGTCAGTATTATGGAATACTAATACTACCATGTTTTTTGTTGTTCCTTGTTCATTTAGTTGTAAAGGCAATATACTGTACATGTATTTGTGCCTTTAAGAAAAGTCATATAATGTATACATATTTCAGTTGTGTTTCTGACAGCTGACAGTTCTGTATATAGTATGTAGACAATGAGGATATCATGTGTCTCTGAATAGTTCAGCTGGCCATACTGTTGTGACAGTGTCATCGTTTTCAACAGTGTGTTTTCCAGGCCAGTGATGTGTATCTTTAGGGTTTGTACTGTTGCAGACTTGTGTTTGCATATGGCAGAGGACTTTACTCATACTCACTCTGGACACTCATATAGTACTGCACACAAACTGTTTGGTCATGTCAGCCTTGAGTGTGTGTGCCTTTTGGCTGTTGACATCTTTTTAGACTGGAATTCTCATACTTTTGTGTTATCCAGACTGAGGTCTGTTAAGATACTGAGTACCAACCCTAATCAACTGTACAATTTTAAAACATCAAAGGCGACATATCTGAACTTCTCAGCATGTGAAATGGCGAGGGAATAAATATTGCGTCAACTTCAACCAGGGAGGGGCGGATTAGTTCAAACAGATTGAATGTGTTAAAAAGTCCAGTAAAGTGTTGATGATCTGAAATGGACGATGCCAAAATTCCTTTATGACGTTATAGTCCTACATAACATGTCACTGTTTCGTACTTGATGCTGCATGGAAGATACAGCATTTTCCAAACTGTAGTTATCTTGATGTTGATGAATCGTGTACTGGCAACCTGCCCAGACTGAGCATGATGCAGACCGTCTCCTAACATATAGCTTTACAACCCAACAAGACTCAGACATTGCTATTGTCATGGAACATTATCTTAAACAGTATCATCAATGGGAAGAAAGCTGTGGCTCAGACAAGACTCTGGGAGATGGGATGTGTCCTTCCATTCAGGCTCACAGCCCAGGCCCTTCAATATACTGTATCAGTTTATGTTTACCACACTGGTGATTTATGTTGCTCTCAGAAATGTAAACAGTCTTTTTTTAAAGGATTATTCCACGATAAGATTCATCTCACTTCTGAGGGGAAGAAAACAATATGTTATAGTAGAAAGTTCACACAGTCAGTCCTCAGACTCAGTTTGTAATACAATGGGAACACATCCCACACTAACACTGATAGATTACTGAATAGAGTTTAATTTCCACTTCGTCTCATTCTCCTCTCTCCAGACCACAGATTTTTTTGAAATGATTGAGAAGATGCAGGTAAGGTATTTTGAATCTGTTTCTTTATTAACTAATGTTTCTAAGCTAGGCAGTGTACACTAACCAGTGATTTAGTCTCTATTGCTGTAATTGCTGCTGTTTTGGCTTTGCTCTCCAGTAACAACGACTTGTCTTACCTGTGCTCTGTACTGAATGTTAGCAGAGCTGGGACAGACAGTGTTGGAGAGGAGATGTCTGGACACGAGCAGTGTGCCTGACTCTGGACAGCCACTCTCATGATGCTTCTTCCCAGACCCTCAGCTAATTACCTCACTTCAGAGAGCACCTAATAACCCCCTGGCCCCTGGCCTTTGAAAACTGTAGCCAGCCTCCATGCCCAAAATAGAGGAATATAGGTTAACATTACAGCATTTTACTACTTATCAAGGCAAGACTGTGTTTGATACAGTACCAAAATTGGTGAACAGGGTGTACTTTTTAGGGTGTCTGAAAGTACATTTTTATTACAGTGTCATATAAAGTAACAAATTACTTTATTGTAAGAGTTGTAATACAAAGTCTGTATAGAGAATTTATTATTTCTCTATTTATAATGTATTACTACTTATTATTCATAAAAATATACATGATATTTGGGCTTGAGGATATTATATATATGGGCTTGTGTTTTTATGCTGTATGTATGTTGACAGAGTTATGTATAAAGCAATGTCTTTGCACAGAAGATTCCTCGCCAGTTTGTATATCAGATGCTCCAGGGATTCCTCTTCTCTTCAATAATAGACAGCATATCAAACATATCAAACTCACAGGAGCAACTATCTGCTCAGACAGACTCACAGCCCTCACATGGTCCTTTACCCACATGTCTGTAGCCAGTATCTGTACACACTCATGGACTGAGGGACATGGGTGTTTTATGGGAATTTCAGGCCACATAGCAAGTCAATGTGACACAGTCCCAAAGTTCGTATTACTGCTTCCATCCCTTTCTCTTCCAGGTAGCTGTTAACTGGCTGCTTTGTTCACATCTCCCTACCTATCTCTCTCCAACTCCACCCTGCATCCCTTTGCTCTTCTGCCTGCTATCTGTATAAACATATGGATGGCTATGTAACATCTTTGTCTGTTGATAATATGATTAGTCTCCCATGTACTTTGTTACTTCCTCTAAAACTGTGGATTCAAATGTAAATAAGCTGTCAGATAAGATGTATGACACGGTTGTGAATCAGTAATAATGATGAACATCTCTGGACCTCCGATGACCTGGGTTTGGAATGTAACATCAGCTGTCATGTGTGACCATTAACTTCTTCTTCTCTCTCTCTCAGGGCAACAGAATGGACGAGCAGCGATACACCTTTCCTCCCCCACTCAAAGTACGGCCCTGACCTCTCTCTTTCTCATAATACGCCCGTTGTCTCACTGCTCCTCATATCTCTCTGTATCTGACTACTGACTGTCAAATTGTATTCACTCAGTGGGCACATACTGGGCACACACTGGTTGAATCAACGTTGTTTCCACGTCATTTCAATCAAATTACGTTGAACCAACTTGGAATAGACATTGAATTGACATCTGTGCCCAGTGGGTATGCTCTAATCCAGCAGCCCTCCCTACCTACTAATGTATAGACTAACAAGGTTAGAGTACAATTATTGTTACAGAGTAATATAATCATCAACAATGCAGCCTGATTGTCTGTATATGCATTAAACAGACAGGCATGTTGGCTGGATTCCATGGTAATAAAATCATCACTTTAAATCAGTAGCATCAATGAAATTGAGACAGATGAATACTTGATGTATCTGTGTTGTTCCCTCTGCAGACTGAAGAGGACTACATTCCTTACCCCAGTGTCCATGAGGTACATATAGAGACTCAACTTCAATGCAATCATTTCACCAGTGATATGGATGTTGGCAATTTGTGCTTCGTGGTTGATATTTCAGTATTCATTGAAAATCACTATCACATTGCTTGGGGGGAAAGAATGACTCACCAACCTCTTGTGTCTTCTACTCTGTGTTGTGAACCAGGTGTTGAGGAGAAAGAGTGGGTTCCCCCTGATTCTGCTGCCTCAGTTTGGGGGTTATTGGATCGAGGGGAACAACCATGAGCTGAGTGACAGTGCTCAGCCAGACCAGATCCAGCCCCTGTCCCCCACCACACACAAGCTGGAGAGTAACTCCACCGCCAAGATCTACAGGAAGCACTTTCTGGGCAAGGTGAGGCTGAACACTGGGACTGTTGTGTTGGAGTTTGGCTGAATGGTTATACTGCAGGAGACCGGGGTTCGATTCCCGGTTGGTCATTTTTGCAGTTTGTCTCCTCTACTTCCATCACATATTTTTCCAACCGCCTTTAAAACATAATAAGACAAAATGAACTCTGTCTGTAGAATAATGAGGCTACATGGGGATGAAACATTTGTTAAGCACCTTCTATTCATACAACGTATTGCAGCCCAAAGGGCATAGCACTAGTATGAAGACACCATAACTCACATAGCTAAGTTTTTCACAATCAATTTCCATTCCTATTCATTATGGTAATTAAAGTGAATGAGTATTAGAACAATCCCAACTGGGTAACCTAATAAGAGCTACTCTACGTGCCGGTTGGCACTTCAGAGACGGGTGCTAATGAGAAGATGCATTAGGCTTTGCCACATGTTTTACACCAGCCAGAGTAATATGAACAAATCTAATCTGCCCATAGAAGTGAGCAGAGACCTGAATGGAATGGCAGCAGTTGGCTGGCACATACAGTTGAGACATAGTTAATTAACTAATTAAAATGTGTTTGGGTGGCTGTGTGTGCGCATGTGTGTACTTACGCCTGTGTGTGTATGAAAGAGAGAAAATGTACTCTTCGGCTAAACTGTGTCGTTGTGCTGTGTCCCCAGGAGCACTTGAATTACTACTCAGTGGACGGAGCTCTGGGACATCTGGTGTTCTCCATGAAGTATGACGAAATCGGAGACCAGGAACACCTCCGACTCATGCTCAGGTAAAACACACTTAGCCTCCTCCATCACGTCCTTCTCTCTGCTAGCTCTCATATCTCTCTCTGTTCTCATCCCTTTCCCCTCCTCCTCTTCCATCCCCACTTTCTCCTTTATCTGAATACTGTGCATACATACAGTACATACAGTACTAAACTGTAAACATACTGGTACTGTTTACATCATTCTGTATCTCTGCAACTGAGTAATGCACAATGCACAGTTGTAACTCTGTTGTAATCAATGGAAAATTGCTCAAATTAGAATTTCCATTCACTTCCAGTGTTCATGAATTGTTCCCTATTGTGGTGATAATCCCATCCTCATACTGATAGTCTTATCATAGGAGTCATAAAGTCAGTGAGAGTGTAAACAGCACACTGTCATTTCTGCATGATGTGACAGATGGACTCTTTAGGCCAGTGTGTGGGTGGAGGGTGGAGGGATACGGATGTAGAGACTAGGGCCAGGGCTGGGTTGCATCACTATGATCATTATGAGAACATGTTGTTATGATTGTCTAAACCACCAGGACCAAGCTGGAGACATACCATGATGTTATCCCCATATCCTGTCTCACAGAGTTCCCTAACGTGGTGCAGATGGCCAAGGTGAGATCATGGTTAGGGGATAAATATCAACACATACTGTATGTGGAAAAGATGTTGAAAAGTGTCATAATTGTATCATGAGTTCATGAATTTGATCTAAGCACGATTATTTCTATATTTTTATTTTTTACCCTTAGCTTGTCTGTGAAGAGGTAAATGTGGATCGTTTTTTCCCTGTCCTCTACCCAAAAGTAAGCCTTAGGTTTTGAAGTCTTCTGAGATATTTAACCACAGAAAAATATTTTTTACATGGATAATACAAATGTTGTAATCCTGACTATTTGTTCAATTTGTGATCTCTAAACAGGCTTCAAGACTCATTGTCACTTTTGATGAACATGTTATAAGCAACAACTTCAAGTTCGGAGTCATCTATCAGAAATTTGGACAGGTGAGCCTTGGAGATACATCAAGAGCACAAAGAAAATCAAGGAGAAAGAGACAGAGAGCGAGACAGAGAGAGACAGAGATAGACAGAGAGAGAGAGAGAGAGAGAGAGAGAGAAGAGAGAGAAAGAGGATAGAGATAAGAGAGATAGAGCTAAGAGGAGCTATTCTGAGAGAATAAGATATCGGGTCTGAATAGCTCCCTCATCTCTCTCCCGTCTTGAGCTTCGCTCTATCCTGAGAATATCTTATAAATAGTCTCTCTCCCTCTCCTCTCCTCACTCTCACGCTTTCATCTCTCAACTACTCACTCTCTGATCCCCTCCTCTCTCATGCTCCCCTCATCTCCTGTCTCCTCTAGCGAGCTATCCGATAGGCCTCGTCTGAACTACGGACAATTATAACATCTATACAAGAGCCTCATTACTCTCTTCGTAGTCTCCTCACTTCGCTATCGCCTTCTTCAAGATCCAGGTCTATCCTATCGCACTCTATTCTACCGACACGACTTTGCCTCACTCTCTGTCTCAGCTACGACTATCCATCAACTCCTACCCGTCCGGACTCATGCAGTGCTGCTACTGCACCTACCCAACAGCGAGCCCTCGGGAGTCTGTACGCCTCTCGAGCATGGATCATCTGCTTTTTCAATCGGAAAAGTCAATCCGCCGTCCAGAATACAGCAATAATGTTTCTCTCTCATCCTATTTAGACAAGTCTGTCACCAAACCAACATACTCTACTTAAGTATTGTGCCAATCACTGGTGTATATTTGCTGATTGCCATCCGTCTCCCTCTCTCTCTCTCTCTCGCGCTCCTCTCGCTATAGAGATAGATAGATAGGATAGCGAGAGACACCCATCCCCCACCCACCCCAGGCCAGAGAGGTCCCTTCTCAATCTCACTCTTGATGTGTGTCACACACAGAGGAAGCCACTCACTGGAAAGACAAAAGCACTCTCTCTCGTCCGTCAAAGGGCCTTTCCTGTCTTCTCGTCACACAATGCTGTGTGATTGAAACCAGGGGTGTTTAAACTAACACACTGTACACCTCATGATCTTCACATCCTACTGTATATGTGTATTGAAAGTTTGGTCTTCCTTCCTCCAAACACTGACCTTTAATGTTAAATGAGAACAGTATGAGATCATGAATACCCGTGTTCACTGTAATGTATGTTTGCAATTCAGCCCGATGTTAATCATGCATTATGCTGATGTACGCTAAGGGTACTTCAGTCAGACACCACTATAGATTTGCTAATGCTTGTGTTGTTGACAGTGTTTTGTCTTTTGTCTTGATGTTTGTTGATGGGTCCTGAAGTATAATTTATATTTTTTATTAGGTCCCTCTTTTGTGTGTTTTCTGAGATCAAAGTGTTATTGTTCTTCACTCATTATTATAGTTATATTAACCATATTAATTGTATTATTCACAATATAGCGTACATCTTAAGTATGTCATCATGAGAGCTTAATATACAATAAGTTATATAATCCTCATAGTGCTTTGGTCAGTGGCATTGTTTTCTGAAAAATGCTAATTGTTTGACTGCTGTTAACCTCTATAAAAACCTTGTTTGCAGACTTCAGAAGAAGAGCTGTTTGGGAACAGTGTTGAGAGTCCTGCCTTTGTTGAATTCCTAGAGTTTCTGGGGGAGAAGGTCGAGCTGCATGACTTTAAAGGGTAAGAACTTCACCACAACTTTTTAATATACTCATTCAATAACAACAACCACAATTGTGTGATTGATTGTGTCTTGAACAGTGTGTTGGAGATAGGACCATTCAGTGAAACCCTCTATCTATCTGTCTAGGTTTCGTGGTGGGTTGGATGTGACCCACAGGCAGACAGGCTCTGAGTCCGTCTACCACAACTACCGCAACAAGGAGGTCATGTTTCATGTGTCCACCAAGCTGCCTTACACTGAGGGGGACACACAACAGGTACTATTACAAACCCCTCTGATCTCCTCCTACTGATGCAGACTGTCATCATCACACTGTTTATTCTGTTATGGATCAGGTTTTAAAGGAGTAGAAAGTTGTGTATTCGTATGAAATTCAGTATTGGTATCCATATGATCCATTATGATTGGAAACATCATGGAAACATCCATAATGATTATGTATACTGTATGTTTACTTTAGAAACAGTATCTTTCTCTTTCAGTTCAGTCTTCAGTGGAGCACTACTGTATAATGTCTTACAGTGTAAACTTTCTCAGTCTTCACTCATCAGGGAAACTGTCCCAACACAAACACAGACAGACACCTTATCAGAACACATACACAAACAATGTCTTAAGCCTATCTAGACAAACACACACCATGAGTTATCAGGACGAACACACAATGTTTAATCAGAGCCCACAGCTGCAGTGGGAGCAGCTGATTGGTTCCCCTGAGAGTTAAGTCAATCTGAGCTGTTGTCCAGGTTGATATGGTGGAGCAGCACCCATCCAACTGGTGTTTGTTTACCCTGGCTCATCTGTGGACAGACAGAAATCTGCCATGACAGACAGGGAGAGAGAGAGGGGGAGAGGGGGAGAGACAAGGGACTCCCAAGAGTGGTAGAGAAAGGCATTTGCAACATTCAGTAGTTTGGAGGTGTATAAATAAACTCTTATTACTGCTACTCAAGCAATACATGACAGACAAATTCATTACTGTTCTTGAAAGCATTTCCATGTGACATGAATGTTCAATGCAGCTTTGCTTTACATGCTGTCCTGTGTTGCAGTTGCAGAGGAAGAGGCACATAGGGAATGACATCGTGGCCATAGTGTTCCAGGAGGAGAGCACACCCTTCGTACCAGATATGATTGCCTCCAACTTCCTCCATTCCTATATAGTGGTGCAGGTGGAGAACGCCTGCACTGACAATGTACTGTACAAGGTGCTAGAGCACTCCCTGATCTTCACTAAACTAGCCAACCAACATCATACCAAACATACAATACTGTGACCATTGATCATTCATGGCCCATTCGATTGTCATCTGTTAGGTGTCAGTAACAGCGAGAGATGACGTACCGTTCTTTGGACCACCCCTGCCAGACCCGGCCATCTTTAGAAAAGTAAGTTGGCACAACTACAATCCCAACTCCTTAGAACACCGGTCAGCTACAGTGTTTTCTCTCTCCTCTCTCATTTGTCTGTCACTCATTCCATTTCTCTTTTATCCCAGGGTCCAGAATTCCAGGAGTTCCTCTTCACGAAGCTCATCAATGCTGAGTATGCCTGCTATAAAGCTGAGAAATTTGCCAAACTGAAGGTGAGTTATTCAAAGGATTGTTCAGGAGCCAACTAAGGGACTCAAGCCAGCATCCTTGGCAGACAGTGTTGCCAGCCTATCATTACGTATTAACTGTCTTGCTGTGTGTGTGTGTCACCTGTATGTGTTATCAGGAGCGTACACGGTCAGCTTTGCTGGAGACATTGTATGAGGAGTTGCACATCAACAGCCAGGCCATGATGGGTCTGGGAAGAGACGAGGACAAGATGGAGAACGGGTCCGGAGGAGGGGGCTTCTTTGAGACCTTTAAGGTAACCAGGCACGGCTGGGAAAACGATTGGGGTAATAAGCTTAGTATGCACTGACTAATATGTTTTTACACATGATCACTTGTTCCTGAATATGTAACAGTTCTAAAGTTATACATGCTCATAAAACTAAAACAGAGGACCTTTTCCATCTTAGAGTGACACAGTTCTTTACACTGCACTATTTCTCTGTTGTTCCCCCAGGTTGTACAGATTGTTGTCTGTCTGGGGGTTTCCAATAATGTCCTTATCCATAATACAGGACACTGGCATCAACTACTTGAGCAGTCTCCATTAGTCTGTCTGGGGAGCATCCCTGTCTCTGTGCTCTGCTGCTCTGTCAAATGGCTCACCAGCTTCTCAATGTCAAGCTTTGTGTGTTGTGGTGTGTTGTGTTGTGTTCTGTCTGCAGCAGGCTACCATGTGTTTGTGACATACATTAGCTGGCTTTATTTCCTGCTCTGTTTCACCCTTCCAGATACATACAATACTAGTTATGAACGTGGACATACAGCCATGTACCTCTCTCTATCTCTGTTTCTCTGTCCCTCCAGTCAGGTCTCTTCTACCGGGGTATTCTGGGTTCATGGGTTTTGGATGCTCTCCAACTGGTGTTTACTGTGGACGTAAGCAGGCAGACATTTCCCTCACTGCTCTACAAACTCCCCTTCTCTTCCCACCCACCAATACTGACTCAGCCCCTGAGTCCCCTTGGGCGCTACAAGCTTAGTGTTTCTCCCTGCGTCTACTTTAGTGTCGGATGGGAACTAACTAGGTCCTGCTATCTCCTAGTGTCAGTGTCGTTCTCCTTGCTTCTTTCTGTAGCTTGCCCAGTGGTTGGGTTTAGAGTCAGTACCAGTTTAGTACTTGTCTTTCTCTCTCTGTCTGAGGTGGTTAGTTAGGGTTAGAGTCAGTGCTAGACCAAGCTCAACGTGTCTCCTCCTCGTCTGTCTCTGTAGCGAGTGATCAGCAGCAGAAGCCAGTCTATGGACACCATGGGTCTCAATTTCAAGAAGCCACACACTGTCTCCACTAGTCTCAGTGGCAACTTTACCCACAACCCACCTGAGAGCCCCAAAGGGATAGTAAGTACACTACAGTAACAGTACCACAGGCTGCTCTGGTCTTGAGTAAGGTGAGCGATGCTCCCTCTCCCTTCCCTGAGAAACCCTTGATAGAGCCCAGCCCCCTCACATGCCTGTCTAACTCAACTCACTAACCTCTAAAACATTAAACACACCGAGAATCTCACTGCCGACAGACTGCCGATAGGTACTTATCACAGTGGAAGGCTGTTCCTTCTCTTGCTAGAACAAAAGCGGTACCTACTGCGTGCCGACCTGGTAGCGACGAACCTACCGATTCTACTTGTAGAATTGCAATGATCGTCAGTGGCCAACAACTTGACTTTGAGCCAATCAGAGAGCACGAACTCCAACGTGCGGGAGCCAACAACAAAAAAATGAAAAAAGAGGGCCTTTTCTCCGTACATCCACGGATGACCAGTCACACGTCATAGCAATGTAGGCTATGGGATGGTAGCTAGCTAAGTACACAGACGCAATGCACACAACACTAAATACTTCCTCCAAGCTAGCTAACCACGGTAGCTAGTATTGACATTATAATTGAATCACAGTGGATTAGCTAGTATCCATGAGCTATGTTCTGCTAGCTAGTGAACATGCTAACGTTAGTTAGCTAGCTGAACATTTGGCAATGGGCTGGCACTGGCAGTATGGGATTATGGAGAGTGGATTAAATTGTTTCTTCGCCTTGCTATGTACAGTGGCTTGCGAAAGTTTTCACCCCCCTTGGCATTTTTCCTATTTTGTTGCCTTACAACCTGGAATTAAAATGGATTTTTTGGGGGCTTGTATCATTTGATTTACACAACATGCCTACCACTTTGAAGATGCAAAATATGTTTTATTGTGAAACAAACAAGAAATAAGACAAAAAAACAGAAAACTTGAGCATGCATAACTATTCACCCCTCCAAAGTCAATACTTTGTGGAGACACCTTTTGCAGCAATTACAGCTACAAGTCTCTTGGGGTATGTCTCTATAAGCTTGGCACATCTAGTCACTGGGATTTTTGCCCATTCTTCAAGGCAAAACTGTTCCAGCTCCTGAAAGTTGGATGGGTTCCGCTGGTGAACAGCAATCTTTAAGTCATACCACAGATTCTCAGTTGGATTGAGGTCTGGGCTTTGACTAGGCCATTCCATGTCAAGGCGTCAGTGAAATGCGGTAGGCGAAGTCAGGTTTCGGGTCGAGAGCCACTGCGGTGGCGATCGGCTCTCGCCTTTTGTAGCCTGATTGGCCACTGCAGGTGTACATGAGCAGCGTTCCAGGTCTCTTCCGAGCACCGAAACCACTCATCTACCACAGGAGCCTCGATCTGGCTCTGATGCCAAGATGCCAGGACCCGGCTGAATACCTAACACACACCTGGAAAGGGCGTAAGGTTAGTAGAGGAGTGGTGGAGTGAGTTTTGGCTATCTCTGCCCAGGGGGGATATTACACTGGGCGCACACGAGCAGGAGGAAACATAAACTCTCACGTCCTTGGCTAAAGTGGGCCACCATACTTCCCACTAAAGACATGTGCACTGTCCGACCGATGCCAGGATGACCAGAGGAGGGTGACGTGTGAACCCAATAGATCAATCGATCACGAACCTCGAGCGGCACGTACACCCGACCCTCTGGACACTGGGGGGGAGTGGGCTCGGTACGTAATGCCCGCTCGATGTCCGCGTCAACCTCCCACACTAACGGTGCCACCAGACACAACGCCAGAAGTATGGGAGTGGGCTCAATGGACCTCTCCTCTGTGTCATACAGTCGGGACAGGGCGTCTGCCTTAGCGTTCTGGGAACCTGGTCTGTAAGTGAGAGTAAACACAAAACGAGTGAAGAACATGGCCCACCTTGCCTGACGAGGGTTCAGCCTCCTCGCCGCCCGGATGTACTCCAGATTACGATGGTCAGTCAAAATGAGAAAAGGGTGTTTAGCCCCCTCAAGCCAATGCCTCCACACTTTCAGAGCTTTAACCACAGCTAACAGCTCCCGGTCCCCCACATCATAGTTGCGCTCCGCCGGGCTGAGCTTCTTAGAAAAGAAAGCACAGGGGCGGAGTTTTGGTGGCGTACCCGAGCACTGAGACAGTACAGCTCCAATCCCAGCCTCGGACGCGTCCACCTAAACCTGGAATGCCAAGGAAGGATCTTGATGAGCCAGCACCGGAGCCGAAGTAAACAGGTCCTTCAGATTCCCAAAAGCCCTGTCCGCCTCAGCTGACCACTGTAGACGCACCGGTTCTCCCTTTAGCAAGGAGGTAATGGGAGCCGCTACCTGACCAAAGCCCCGGCTAAACCTCCGGTAGTAATTGGCAAAACCCAAGAATCGCTGCACCTCCTTCACCGTGGTTGGAGTCGGCCAATTACGCACAGCCGAAATGCGGTCAATCTCCATCTCCACTCCTGACGCTGACAGGCGGTGTCCTAGGAAGGAGATGGATTCCTGGAAGAACTGAAATTGTTCTGCCTTCACATACAGGTCATGCTCCAACAGTCGACCAAGCACCTGACGCACCAGGGACACATGCTTGGCCCATGTAGCGGAGTATATGAGAATGTCATCAATATACACCACTACACCCTGTCCATGCAGGTCCCTGAAAATCTCATCAACAAAAGATTGGAAGACTGAAGGAGCATTCATCAAACCGTATGGCATGACGAGGTACTCATAGTGCCCCGAGGTGGTACTAAATGCAGTCTTCCACTCATTGCCCTCCCGGATACGCACCAGGTTGTACGCGCTCCTGAGATCCAATTTTGTGAAGAAGCGCACCCTGTGCAATGACTCCATCATGCTCGCAATCAGAGGTAATGGATAGCTGTATTTTACAGTGATCTGATTTAGACCACGGTAGTCAATGCACGGGCGTAAGCCACCATCCTTCTTCTTCACAAAAAATAAACTTGATGACACAGGGGAAGTGGACGGCCGAATGTATCCTTGTCTCAGAGATTCGGTGACATATGTTTCCATAGCCGCTGTCTCTTCCTGTGACAGAGGATACACGTGACTCCGGGGAAGCGCAGCGCCTACCTGGAGGTTTATCGCACAATCCCCCTGTCGATGGGGTGGTAATTGAGTCGCCTTCTTTTTACAGAAGGCGAGAGCCAAATCGGCATATTCAGGCGGAATGTGCATGGTGGGAACCTGGTTTGGACTTTCCACCGTAGTTGCCCCTACGGAAACACCTACACACCTCCCCAAGCACTGACTTGACCATCCCTTGAGAGCCCTCTGTTGCCATGAAATAGTGGGGTCATGAGAAGTTAACCAGGGAAGCCCCAACACCACTGGAAACGCAGGAGAATCAATCAGATATAGACTACTTATTTCCTCATGCCCCTCCTGTGACCTCCCTAATCGGACCTGACCCTAAAGGGCAACTATCTAGGGCATGTATAGGGAAGGGCACATCAACTGGCACAATAGGAATCCCTAACCTACGGGTAAACTGACGATCAATAAAGTTCCCAGTTGCGCCTGTATCTACTAGCGCCTTATGCTGGGAATGAGAAGAAAACTCGGGAAATACAACATTTATACACATATGCGCAACAGGGAGCTCTGGGTGAGTTGGGTGCCTACTCACCTGAAACGGTTCACCAGTGCGCTACCTACTGCCTCAACTCCTTGAAGGCCCTCCCCAGCACCGACCAGCAGTGTGTCCTCTGCGGCCACAGTTGGTGCAGGGGACGGCCCCTCTACCGGTCTCCCTCATAGCAGCACCTCCGAGCTCCATAGGGGTAGGGTCAGAGGTGCTGGGGGATGGAATGGATGGCCCCTGATCCGGACGTCCGCGGGTGGCCAACAGGTTATCCAGTCGGATTGACATATCCACCAGTTGGTCCAGGTTTAGGTTGGTGTCCCTGCAGGCCAATTCCCGACGAACGTCCTCCCTTAAGTTGCAACGGTAGTGGTCGACGAGGGCCCTATCATTCCATCCTGCGCTGGCAGCCAGAGTCCGAAAGTCCAGTGCAAATTCCTGCGCGCTCCTCTTCCCCTGTCTGAGGTGGAATAGACGTTCACCCGCCACTCTCCCCTCTCGTGGATGATCAAATACCGCCCTATAGCGGCGGGTAAACTCTGCATAGCTTACAGTTGCGGCGTCTATTCCCCCCCACTCGGCATTGGCCCACTCCAGCGCTTTACCGGACAGACAGGAGATGAGGGCGGACACACTCTCTTATACCGAGGGAGCCGGGTGGATGGTTGCCAGGTAGAACTCTACCTGGAGCAGAAAACCCTGACACCCGGCAGCTGTACCGTCATAAGCCCTCGGGAGCGAGAGCCGAATCCCACTGGACCCAGATGGTGAAGAGATGGACATCGGGGTAGGTGGTGGTGTAATTGGAGGAGGTATAGGGATACCTCCTCTCTCCCATCGCTCCATAGTATTAACTACTCGTTCCATAGCGGTGCCGAGAGCCTGGATCATGGCCGCTTGTTGTTGGACACGTTCCTCCATCGATCCGGCTGGCATAGCTGTACCTGCTGACTCCATGTTATGGTGCGTGTTTCTGTCAAGGCGTCAGTGAAATGCGGTAGGCGAAGTCAGGCGCAGGACACAGAGCTAATCAAAAGGCGTACTTTTCTTGTGGGTAAAAGAATGAACAACAACCTCCACGCAGGGAGGGAACAAACCCACACACTAACGACAACCAAAACATGAACAAACACGCACAACACAAAGTGTGAGGCAGAGGGTTAAATAGGGAAGACATAACTACATGATGGGAAACAGGTGTGACCAATTAAGACAAAACAAGTCGAACATAGATACATGGATCGGTAGCAGCTAGTACTCCAGTGACGACGAACGCCGAAGCCTGCCCGAGCAAGGAGGAGGGGCAGCCTCGGCTGAATCCGTGACATTCCAAAACATTTACAGTAAATGTTTCCCCTTAAACCGCTCGAGTGTTGCTTTAGCAGTATGCTTAGGGTCATTGTCCTGCTGGAAGGTGAACCTCTGTCCCAGTCTCAAATCTCTGGAAGACTGAAACAGGTTTCCCTCAATAATTTCCCTGTATTTAGCGCCATCCATCATTCCTTCAATTCTGACCAGTTTCCCAGTCCCCGCCGATGAAAAACATCCCCACAGCATGATGCTGCCACCACCATTCTTCACTGTGGGGATGGTGTTCTAGGGGTGATGAGAGGTCTTGGGTTTGCGCCAGACATAACGTTTTCCTTGATGGCCAAAAAGCTCAATTTTAGTCTCATCTGACCAGAGTACCTTCTTCCATATGTTTGGGGAGTCTCCCACATGCCTTTTGGCAAACACCAAACGTGTTTGCTTATTTTTTTCTTTAAGTAATGGCTTTTTTCTGGCCACTCTTCCGTAAAGCCCAGCTCTGTGGAGTGTACGGCTTAAAGTGGTCCTATGGACAGATACTCCAATCTCCGCTGTGGAGCTTTGCAGCTCCTTCAGGGTTATCTTTGGTCTCTTGGTTGCCTCTCTGATTAATGCCCTCCTTGCCTGGTCTGTGAGTTTTGGTGGGCGGCTCTCTCTTAGCAGGTTTGTTGTGGTGCCATATTCTTTCAATTTTTTTATAATGGATTTAATGGTGCTCCGTGGGATGTTCAAAGTTTCGGATATTTTTTTATAACGCAACCCTGATCTGTACTTCTCCACAACTTTGTCCCTGACCTGTTTGGAGAGCTCCTTGGTCTTCTTGGTGCCGCTTGCTTGGTGGTGCCCCTTGCTTAGTGGTGTTGCAGACTCTGGGGCCTTTCAGAACAGGTGTATATACAGTGGGGAGAACAAGTATTTGATACACTGCCGATTTTGCAGGTTTTCCTACTTACAAAGCATGTAGAGGTCTGTAATTTTTATCATAGGTACACTTCAACTGTGAGAGACAGAATCTAAAACAAAAATCCAGAAAATCACATTGTATGATTTTTAAGTAATTAATTTGCATTTTATTGCATGACATAAGTATTTTGATACATCAGAAAAGCAGAACTTAATATTTGGTACAGAAACCTTTGTTTGCAATTACAGAGATCATACGTTTCCTGTAGGTCTTGACCAGGTTTGCACACACTGCAGCAGGGATTTTGGCCCACTCCTCCATACAGACCTTCTCCAGATCCTTCAGGTTTCGGGGCTGTTGCTGGGCAATATGGATTTTCAGCTCCCTCCAAAGATGTTCTATTGGGTTCAGGTCTGGAGACTGGCTAGGCCACTCCAGGACCTTGAGATGCTTCTTACGGAGCCACTCCTTAGTTGCCCTGGCTGTGTGTTTCGGGTCGTTGTCATGCTAGAAGACCCAGCCATGACCCATCTTCAATGCTCTTACTGAGGGAAGGAGGTTGTTGGCCAAGATCTCGCGATACATGGCCCCATCCATCCTCCCCTCAATACGGTGCAGTAGTCCTGTCCCCTTTGCAGAAAAGCATCCCCAAAGAATGATGTTTCCACCTCCATGCTTCATGGTTGGGATGGTGTTCTTGGGGTTGTACTCATCCTTCTTCTTCCTCCAAACACGGCGAGTGTTTAGACCAAAAAGCTCTATTTTTGTCTCATCAGACCACATGACCTTCTCCCATTCCTCCTCTGGATCATCCAGATGGTCATTGGCAAACTTCAGACGGGCCTGGACATGCGCTGGCTTGAGCAGGGGGACCTTGCGTGCGCTGCAGGATTTTAATCCATGACGGCTTAGTGTGTTACTAATGGTTTTCTTTGAGACTGTGGTCCCAGCTCTCTTCAGGTCATTGACCAGGTCCTGCCGTGTAGTTCTGGGCTGATCCCTCACCTTCCTCATGATCATTGATGCCCCACGAGGTGAGATCTTGCATGGAGCCCCAGACCGAGGGTGATTGACCGTCATCTTGATCTTCTTCCATTTTCTAATAATTGCGCCAACAGTTGTTGCCTTCTCACCAAGCTGCTTGCCTATTGTCCTGTAGCCCATCCCAGCGTTGTGCAGGTCTACAATTTTATCCCTGATATCCTTACACAGCTCTCTGGTCTTGGCCATTGTGGAGAGGTTGGAGTCTGTTTGATTGAGTGTGTGGACAGGTGTCTTTTATACAGTTAACGAGTTCAAACAGGTGCAGTTAATACAGGTAATGAGTGGAGAACAGGAGGGCTTCTTAAAGAAAAACTAACAGGTCTGTGAGAGCCGGAATTCTTACTGATTGGTAGGTGCTCAAATACTTATGTCATGCAATAAAATGCAAATTAATTACTTAAAAATCATACAATGTGATTTTCTGGATTTTTGTTTTAGATTCCGTCTCTCACAGTTGAAGTGTACCTATGATAAAAATTACAGACCTCTACATGCTTTGTAAGTAGGAAAACCTGCAAAATCGGCAGTGTATCAAATACTTGTTCTCCCCACTGTATACTGAGGTCAGGTCACTTAGATTGCACACAGGTGGACTTTATTTAACTAATTATGTGACTTCTGAAGGTAATTGGTTGCACCAGATATTATTTAGGGGCTTCATAGAAAAGGGGGTGAATAACATATGCATGCACCACTTTTCCGTTATTAATTTTTTAGAATTTTTTGAAACAAGGTATTTTTTTAATTTCACTTCACCAATTTGGACTATTTTGTGTATGTCCATTACATAAAATAAAAATAAAATATCAATTTAAATTACAGGTTGTAATGCAGCAAAATAGGAAAAACGCCAAGGGGGATGAATACTTTTGCAAGGCACTGTAGTTATCTAGCTGTGGCCATCTGGCTAGCATCAACAAGGGCTTTCTACAAAATAACAACATTAGCGCAGATTGCTTGGAATCTAGACCATAAGCAATACACACGGATATGCATTGCCAAACAATGCTACTGCCACCTTCTGGTTTGGAGTATTTTAACAAGGCTGAGTCACTGACGACTTCCAAGGTCTTTGCTGTGTGAACACAAAAGAGATTGACTGCCAACACTCTGTTCAGATCTGCTAAGTACTGTCGGCAGGCAAACGTTTGACAATCCTACTGGAGTGTCTGAGCTTTAACACAATAGCCTTGCACATGATTAAACTTGGCCACTCACACAGCTAGAATTACTAGACAGTCACAAACCTTGCCTTTATATTTATAGCGGATGTGCTGAGTCATCTTGTTTTATCAAAGGTGTTTTTAACATTGAATGCAATTTAATATTGTTTTCATTATTACAATTCCACGCATATGCATTGCATCAGAATGGGTCCCTGCACTGTGTGCTCTGTGTACATGCCAACTCCAGCTCGTGCTTGATGTTTGCTTTGTGATGTTTAAATCAAGAACAAGCTTGTTTGTTATAAGAGTTCACAGGGAGTGCGTAGTGCGTACATGGTGCATAGTGCGTACATGGTGCGTAGTGCGTACATGGTGCATAGTGCGTACATGGCGAGTATTTTTTAGGCATTTGGAAGACAGATGGAATGATATGTCTGACACTCCAGTGGCAGAAGAGTTGCCCTTCTAAGTGATAAAAGCATGGTTCATGACTGTTTGAATGTTTCCTGCAAAAATATATTTGTCATGCTGTATGTTTGGGATGTATTATACCACTAAGATTGTTGATGAAACATAGGATATACATTTATATCAAATCTGAGAGGAACTTAATTTGGGAAGTCACAAGATCTTTCTCTATTAAGTCACCCCTTTGTCTAAGATGTCACATAAATAGAAAAGACTCAAAGAAAACATGTTGATTAAGCATGAAACAAATAACAAGTGCTTTGAACAATATTTGTAACCAACCTGTATGTGACTGTACTGGAGGCGTTCTTCTTGTTCATGACCATGTCTGCTGTGCTCTCTAACCCTGTAACATGTATGTGTACTTGTTTTCTGCTTTTCCTCTTCTTCTCCATGACTCCATCATCCTCTTCCTCACAGGCCCAATTCTATGGGCCATTTTTTCTCTCTGCTAAAGTGTCTCTCCCCATTTCACTGCCTCTGTTGCACCCGTGTTGCCCAAAGTCTCTCTCGCTCTGTCAATGTTTTATAACTGTGCTTTTATTTGTAACCTCCAGATATAACATGTGTTTTAAAGTATTTTGTTTTATTAACATAACTTGCTGCATGTAATCTCATGGTCTTTCTCTCTCCTCCCTCATCCCTCCCCTCTCTCGATCTTCGCAGATATCCGCGAGTATCGACGCCTACGAATTCTCAACTACTCCTCTCTAGTCTCTGCTCCTCGATCTCTCTCCTCTCCCCTCTCTCTCTCTCTCTCTCTCTCTCCTCTCTCTCTCTCTCTCTCTCTCTCTCTCTCTCGCTCTCTCTCTCTCTCTCTCTCTCTCTCTGAATGACTCAGTCATTGCTTGTCCCAGGGAAAAGTCCCAGTAAATATGGACGTCGAGGCAGTGCCATAGGGATAGGAGCAGTAGAAGAGGTTCATATCTAATTCTAACTACTCCCTCCTTACTACTCTTCCTCTCTGTGTCTTATTTCTCTGCATGACTACACTGCATCGTGACAAACACTTTTCCTATGGTTGATCAGTGAACCAGAACTTTAGGATTCCAGGGCAACCACTCCATAAATGCAAAAGGACGACTCCTCGTTTATGAAATACTTGACTTTCTTAGCAGGAGATTGCATCTTTACAGTATTATACACATATTCTAAAGCTATAGTATTACTGAGACAAGTGAAATGACTTGCCTCTCTCAACTGTTTGAACTACATCACACACTGTACACTAGCCTTTGATCCATAGGACATCAGATATACTGTAGATACAACGCTAGCACAAATAACGTTTTGTATAAGTGCATAGAGACAGGTGGTCCGTTTAATGCCCTTAGCCCTCACTTAACTGGTCTTTGTTGTCTTGCATATTTCCTTGTTTTGTTGTTACATTGTATTGTGTGTTCACCCTCTGTAGTCTCCACAAGCATATCTCTCAACATGCAAATCTTGTTTAGCTAATTCTCCATTTGTTTAAAACTATGAATATTCATGTTTAGAGAACATCCCCCCAAAAATAAAACATACATTCCTCTCAAGCTCTTTGAAGCTCACATTAGATACAAGCTATTTTTCAAGTCCTTATTTTGAGAGCTTACAAAGGGAGATTGAGTGAACAAAGCGTTCAGTCAGAAAGCACATTTTAGTGGTAAGCCCTGGAGCACTAGAACTCATCTTTTATCTCATGCTCTGCTCTCACTAGCCAAACGGAGTGGCATTGGGGCTTGTTGCTAAGCCTCTAAGTGCATATTCTAATGTTTTCTTATCTCTGTTAGCTACAACTCCAAGGCATAAGAATGGTTACTCTGTACGTAGCCTGATAATAATGATTCACTCTTACGCAAGATAGAACATCTTGTACTTTCCACAGAGATGGGTTGAATTGTCTCACGATTTATAGTGAATAATAATACAATACCTTGAAAGTCATGGCATTTTGAAAATACAAGTGATGATATACTGTGTATTATAAACTGGGTGGTTCGAGCCCTGAATGCTGATTGTCTGAAAGCTGTGGTATATCAGACCGTATACCATGGGTATGACAAAACATTTATTTTTACTGCTCTAATTACGTTGGTAACCAGTTTATAATAGCAATAAGCCACCTCGGGGGTTTGTGATATATGGCCAATATACCACGGCTAAGGGCTGTGTCCTAGCACTCCGCATTGCGTCGTGCTTAAGAACAGCCCTTAGCCGTGGTGTATTTACCATATACCACACCCCCTCAGGCCTTATTGCTTAAATAACACCTAACATACTAGAAAAAAAATAACAAAGCATAACAATGCAATAACTACAGCGTTAACAGTAATGACAGATGCCATGTTATTGGCTATTGATAGGCTGTTATTGGGAAAGAGGTGATGTCATGGTGCTCACTGGTTGTTTTCTTCTTGTCCTGTCAGTCTTTGATCATCCCTGGGAAGAGTCCAACCAGGAAGAAGTCTGGTCCATTTAGCTCCAGACGCAGCAGTGCCATCGGTATTGAGAATATCCAGGAAGTCCACGAGAAAATGTAAGCGATGTTGATACAGTGGGTATCATAAATATTCACATTTTGTTTCACATTTGTTGCGTTAAGATTTTTAATGGTCTATAATGTCAAAGTAGAAGAAAAATGCTATCAATTCTATTTTATTTTATGGAAAATTAAAAAACACTAATATACCTTGATTACATAAGTATGAGTCCATACATGTTAGAAACACCTTTGGCAGTGATTACAGCTGTGAGTCTTCTTGGGTAAGTCTCTAAGAGCTTTGCACACCTGGATTGTGCAATATTTTCCCATTATTCTTCAAGCTCTGTCAATGTGTTGGGGATCATGGCTAGGCAGCAATTTTCAAGTCTTGCCATAGATTTTCAAGCAGTTTTAAGTCAAAACTGTAACTTGGCCACAGGAAAATTCACTGTCTTCTTGGTAAGCAACTCCAGTGTATATTTGGCCTTGTGTTGTAAGCCATTGTCCTGCTTAAAGGTAAATTACTCTACCCAGTGGTATAAAGCAGACTGAAGCAGGTTTTGCTCTAGGATTTTGCCTGTGCTTAGCTCCATCCCGTTTATTTTTATCCTGAAAAAACTCCCCAGTCTTTGCTGATGTCAAACAGCCACCACCATGTTTGAAAATAAGGAGGCAGTTACTCAGTGATGTGTTGTGTTGGATTTGACACAAACATAAGGTTTTGCATTTAGGCCAAAGAAAGTATTCCTTTGTCGTGTTTTTTTGCAGTATTACTTTAGTGCCTTGTTCCATACAGGAACAGGGTGCATGTTTTGGAATATTTTTATTCTGTATATTTATTATTCTTTTAACTCTAGGTCATTTTTGTGGAGTAACCACAATGTTGTTAATCCATCCTCAGTTTTCTCCCTTCACAGCCATTGAACTCTGTAGCTGTTTTAAAATAATATCACCAATGGCCTCATGGTGACATCCCTGAGCAATTTCCTTCCTGTCCTGCAGCTCAGTTCAGAAGGACGACTGTATATTTGTTGTGTCTGGGTGGTTTAATACATCATCCACAGCATAATTATTAACTTGACCATGCTTAAACTGATATTCAATATCTGATTTGTTATTGTTACCCATCTACCAATCACTGCCCTTCTTTGAGGCTTTCAAAAAGCTCCATGGTCTTTGTAGTTGAATCTGTGCTTGAAATTCAATACCTGACTGAGGGACCTTACAGATGTTGTATGTATGGGGGACAGAGGAAGGGGTAGTCATTCAAACATCATGTTAAGCCCAATTATTTCACACAGAGTGAGTCCATGTAACTTATTATGTGATTTGTTGAGCCAAATGTTATTCCTGATCTCATTTAGGCTTGCCTAAACAAAAGGGGTAAATACTTTTGCAACAATTACATTTTTATTAATTGGTTAAAATGTGTATAATTTTATTTTCACTTTGACATTATGGAGTATCTTGTGTCGATCAATGACAAAAAAATCACAATTGAATCTATTTCAATCCCACTTTGTCACAAAACAAGATGTGAAATAATCCAAGGGGGGTTAATACTTATGATACCCATTGCATGTTAGTCATAATGTCTTGTGTTTCTCTCTGATGTCCTGATCCTATCCCTGTCCTTGTATCTACCGCCCTGTCTCTGTATTCATATGTACTTATTCAGCCTTGTCCCCTCCCCCCTCAGCAGCAGCCACAGCGGTAGGGAGTGTTTACCTGGCACACAGAAGAACCCTGACAATGACCACGCCTCTCAGGACCCCAAGTCTGAGAACTCATCCAATCAGAGCTCACCAGAAGTGCTCACTACAAAGAACACGTGAGTAGATGACATTTCAACACAGACATATAGGCCAATATGATCATTCACATTAAAATGTAAGCATCATATCAACATGAATAATGCGCTATCAAGTTCAACGTCACTAGGACAATGTGATTTAGGTACCCACCCAAGTACCCTAAAATATGTACGTCTTCTACTCCAGACAGTGTATGTGTAACACAGTTTGTAGTTCTATCGGTGGACTATTAATGCAGGCATGGTCCTGTCACATTGTGGATGGCTGACTGACTCAGGATGTAGTTTTGCTCTTTGTAACAACAGGGCTCAGTCTATCCCTGAGGGTCATGACCTTTCCCGCTCCTCCTCCAACGCCAGCAGCTTCGCCAGTGTGGTGGAGGAAAACGAGACAGAGGCCACGGAGGACTACGACACTGGCATGGTGAGTGTGTGTGTGTGCTTGTGTGCGTGCTTGCGTGTGTGTGTGTGTACGTGCATGCCTGCGTTGTGTGTGTGTGCTTGTGTGTGTGCGTGTTTTGGCCATGCTTTTAACCTCTTGCCCATGTGTGTTCCCCAGGAGAGCCTGTCATCAGCGGGGACGCCACACAAGCAGGACTCGTTAACCTACAGCACATGGCTGGAGGACAGTATGAGCAGCACTAGCCGAGGCAGCTCGCCAGGTGAGAAGAAGGGCCTGGGAGGCTAGGAGGCTAGGAGGCTAGGAAGCTAGGAGGCTAGGAGGCTAGGAAGCTAGGAGGCTAGGAGGCTAGGAGGCTAGGAGGCTAGGAAGCTAGGAGGCTAGGAGGCTAGGAGGCTAGGAAGCTAGGAGGCTAGGAGGCTAGGAAGCTAGGAAGCTAGGAAGCTAGGAAGCTAGGAGGCTAGGAGGCTAGGAGGCTAGAAAGCTAGGAGGCTAGGAGGCTAGGGGGAGATTGTAGATGTACACAAAAGAGGGCATAAGGTACATATGAGTCTAGAAGTCAATAACTGTTGCTTGCCAGGTTGTTATTGTAAAAGAGGGTTTCTCAATGACCTACCTGGTTAAATAAAGGTCATACCAAAATAAATACAACATTTGGCAGTTTGATGATGTAGATACAGTGGGGAGAACAAGTATTTGATACACTGCCGATTTTGCAGGTTTTCATACTTACAAAGCATGTAGAGGTCTGTAATTTTTATCATAGGTACACTTCAACTGTGAGAGACGGAATCTAAAACAAAAATCCAGAAAATCACATTGTATGATTTTTAAGTAATTAATTTGCATTTTATTGCATGACATAAGTATTTGATACATCAGAAAAGCAGAACTTAATATTTGGTACAGAAACCTTTGTTTGCAATTACAGAGATCATACGTTTCCTGTAGGTCTTGACCAGGTATGCACACACTGCAGCAGGGATTTTGGCCAACTCCTCCATACAGACCTTCTCCAGATCCTTCAGGTTTCGGGGCTGTCGCTGGGCAATACGGATTTTCAGCTCCCTCCAAAGATTTTATATTGGGTTCAGGTCTGGAGACTGGCTAGGCCACTCCAGGACCTTGAGATGCTTCTTACGGAGCCACTACTTAATTGCCCTGGCTGTGTGTTTCGAATCATTGTCATGCTGGAAGACCCAGCCACGACCCATCTTCAATGCTCTTACTGAGGGAAGGAGGTTGTTGGCCAAGATCTCGCGATACATGGCCCCATCCATCCTCCCCTCAATACGGTGCAGTCGTCCTGTCCCCTTTGCAGAAAAGAATCCCCAAAGAATGATGTTTCCACCTCCATGCTTCACGGTTGGGATGGTGTTCTTGGGGTTGTACTCATCCTTCTTCTTCCTCCAAACACGGCGAGTGGAGTTTAGACCAAAAAGCTCTATTTTTGTCTCATCAGACCACATGACCTTCTCCCATTCCTCCTCTGGATCATCCAGATGGTCATTGGCAAACTTCAGACGGGCCTGGACATGCGCTGGCTTGAGCAGGGGGACCTTGCGTGCGCTGCAGGATTTTAATCCATGACGGCGTAGTGTGTTACTAATGGTTTTCTTTGAGACTGTGGTCCCAGCTCTCTTCAGGTCATTGACCAGGTCCTGCCGTGTAGTTCTGGGCTGATCCCTCACCTTCCTCATGATCATTGATGCCCCACGAGGTGAGATCTTGCATGGAGCCCCAGACCGAGGGTGATTGACCGTCATCTTGAACTTCTTCCATTTTCTAATAATTGCGCCAACAGTTGTTGCCTTCTCACCAAGCTGCTTGCCTATTGTCCTGTAGCCCATCTCAGCCTTGTGCATGTCTACAATTTTATCCCTGATGTCCTTACACAGCTCTCTGGTCTTGGCCATTGTGGAGAGGTTGGAGTCTGTTTGATTGAGTGTGTGGACAGGTGTCTTTTATACAGGTAACGAGTTCAAACAGGTGCAGTTAATACAGGTAATGAGTAGAGAACAGGAGGGCTTCTTAAAGAAAAACTAACAGTTCTGTGAGAGCCGGAATTCTTACTGGTTGGTAGGTGATCAAATATTTATGTCATGCAATAAAATGCAAATTAATTACTTAAAAATCATACAACGTGATTTTCTGGATTTTTGTTTTAGATTTTGTCTCTCACAGTTGAAGTGTACCTATGATAAAAATTACAGACCTCTACATGCTTTGTAAGTAGGAAAACCTGCAAAATCGGCAGTGTATCAAATACTTGTTCTCCCCACTGTATGTCTGATTTATAGCCGTATTGAGTCAGAGAAGGCTGTATACTGTATGTTTCTCCCAGTACAACTTGGTCCAGGATCATAACTGTTGAGGTCATGTGTTTTATTATCCAGGTCCTGGTAAACTTGATGGGGGTAAAGGGTCAGATATCCGCATTAAACTGGACCGGCCACAAGATAGTCAGTCCTCATCGGTGAGACATCATCCATACTGGGCCTCAAAGGGCTAGGGGTCTACAGCTGTTCCTCTGTCTAATTCCTTGCTCACTGTAAATAGATGTGTGCTCCCTGCCTTTGCATGAATTCTTCTTTTATTCTGTTAAGTGAACATTGGTATTGTAACTTCAGATGTTGTACTTCTGTTACTACTGCTGTTGTTGTATTCTCATTACTGTGGTCATGTGGTAACTGTTGTAGTTGTTGTGTAAATTCTTCTTGCTCACTATGCATCTCTGTCTGTGTATCCTTCCTGTCCAGAACTGTTAGCCTGGTTATTTCCTGGGTGTCCATCTGCAGGTTAGTCTGACTGTCTCTCTCCGAATGGGGTTCTATCATGGATGAATTATTTAGAAAGCGGTGGACTCCATTAAACAGTATATACTGTAACTACATGTATTTACTCATAAGTACACATGTCAAGTGTTTAAGAACTCCTCTAAAGGACACACAAATCCTGCACTGCCTCATTTGCATTTTATTTTGTCATGTCAACTTTAAGTAAGAGTCTTGTCTTATGCCTCCTGTCCCTAAAGCATTCCCATAAGACACAATCCTTCCGGGAGATGAGACGAGCACAGGCTTTCGCCGTAACCAATGACGACGATGGGGATGAGGAAGTGGACCCTGGATAGTCTGCTGGTCAGTGAGGCCAGACCACCCCTTCCCAGAAGCCCCGGCGGTGGCGTGGGTGGTGGCGTGCCGTGCCATGAGAGGAAGTCATACACAGAGGGGCAAACTTTTGCACAGTGTCATTTCGTTCTGCTCACTCCCTCGCCTCTCTGTCTCTACACACATCTTCTGCCTGGTTTTGTGTAAATAGGTTTGTCCCAGTGAACAAATGGTACCTTTGGTTCAGTTTTGTTGAGGCCTACTGTATGTAGACACGTGGATCACACTGTAGCTACAGCGATATTGAACTCTGCCAGAGACTTTTGGAGGGGCATGTTGGTATAGTCATATGGATTGTACATTATAGTGACAGTAGCACTGCCTGAAAAAATCTATGAATTGAACCGATTTAATTTAAAATACCAAATATCCAACAACAAATATGTGTGCTTTTTAATTAAATGTCCATTGGTTATGTTGAATACAGTTGAATGTGTTAGTGATTTTACAGGTAAAGTGATTGTAATTCGTCTATTAGCCATAGCTTTAACTGTACAGCCAAAAACAGTTGCTCTGACAGAGTGAATATTTTATTCTCAATATACAATAGCTGGGATATTGTCATCACAATATACAATGTACGTCAAGCCTCACCTGCTCATACTGTAAATTAAAATCAAGATAGATATGTAACAAGAAAGAATGGACATAGCCTTATACCTTGCAAGTACAGTTTTTCTATACCTTCATTATTCATTTCTACCCTTATCAACATGGCCAGAAGCAGACAGTAATTGGACAATGCATGGTTTCAGATGACATGAATATGGGGAAGTTCTGTTTTATGTTCCACATTGTTTTTGAACACAGAATGCTCATTGCTAACTGGTACCTATTTATTCTTGTGAACCATAATTATAAGCTAACAGGCCATTTTAGCTTTGTTCTTTCTGTCCACAGAAACAGCTCTCTGTTCTGTTGTGTATCAAGCAGGTTACTGAGGTCAGGTATGTAGAGATGTGTTGATGACTACACGGGTAATTCATAACTGTATTGGATAATCTACTGTATTAGTCCATCCAATCAGCTTGTCTGCCGATCTACAGTATTGCCATCGGTACCAGCAAAGGAAAATATGTTTTTATTTATTTATTTGGTGTTATTTGGGGGTGAGATGGGGCACCACCTATTATTCTACAGTATATTTCACTGTTTTATTAAAATGATTAGGCTGTTGATAGATTGATAATGTACAGAGATAAATACTACAGTTTGTGCCTGTTATATAGAGTATAGTCCTATCCACTATGGAACCTCAGTTGACACTCCACGCCGGATCTACTGGAGCCCAACAATGACATTTCTTTAAGTGAAAATCATGATTGTGTCATACAGTTAGATATACATTATACATACAACCCTGTTTATTATGTTGAGTACTGCCAAATTAACACATTGTGTGCCATGTTTTTATCACTGGTGACCTTAGCGTTCAAGTACAATTTGAAAGTAAGTTTGAAAATAAACAAAAACTAGCCCACAATGTCTGCTCAATAAAAGGTCAAAACTATAAAGTGACTTGTGGTTGCCTTATGTGTGAGGAAAGGCAACATAGAACAACAAAGGTTGAATGTAGAACAGACATTGATTGAACAGATACTGTATATGTCTATCTAACTAAAATTGCCCTGATAGCTTTTATATTAAATTGCCTTTTGGATATTATTTCATTCTTATATCTTTACTTTGTGAATAAAGCTACACGTTCACCTCTTGCCCTAGATCCCTGTTTAGAGATGACTTAAAGAAAGATGCCATTCATCCTTTGGTATTTCCTCCCAGGGTTTATCCCAGCTACAACATCATAACACTTGTGGCAGTTAAACAATAAAACGTGTGTAGCCTACTGTATACCTCTGTCATTTTCTCTGTACTGAATGAAACCATTGAAGGAATGTTCTATAAATAAGTTATTTGATGTGGCTAACCACCACCAGTCTCTAGAAGTGGAGGCTACTCTACTCCTCTGCTCTTACATGCTGTAACTGTGCCACATGGACCAGAGCAGCATAATAATTAATGTTCGTTCAAATCGCCACAGGGTTTTTTATTTCAGCTGTTCAGAAAGATAGGATTCATCATCATGGTTCAGAAGAGGGTGAGTAGAGAGGAACGTAAATGGAGGTGGAGTGTGAACAAAATAACATGCGCAGAACGTGATTCGGATCCTTAGCTTTGAGAAAAAGGTTTCCATAGAGGCAGTGGGTGTACGGAAACTCCGTATTCGTAGCCATATTATTGAGTCAGTATCTCATCACTATCAAGTGGGCGAGAAATGGTATCAATGTGTGAAAATTACTTAGACAGATGCATTTGTTTATTTTATCAACGATATACTGGTACTACTCACAACATCTAACGTTCCCTATGTCTTTATGTTAGGCTATACTCTTTAGTCTTTACATTAGTCCAGTGTGGACGAAAAGCTACATTTCCAATATCACAAAAGAGAGCTGGTGCCCTCTAGTGGTGTACACTTACATGTGCATATTATTGTTTTATTTCAGTTGCTGTGCGTATGTTATAGTCACATTGGAGATTGGGATCTAGTAAAGCACTTTGCCGCACTGCCGAATCAGGAAACTGGAATTTAAATTATACATTATTTAGAAAATGTGTGAAAACTGCTTCAGTGTGATCTATTCAAATGATTGTATTTGTGTTATGTTTTAATAGTGCATTCCTGTAAGAAATTATCTTGTAAATATGTTTTCCCCCTCATTTGTAAATATAGCCAAAATATGAATTAAGAGCCTGGATTCGTTCCGATGTCTTGCTGAGTTTTGAATTTTGTAGAGAAAATTGTATTATTTTTAACTCGCTACAGTACCGTTTTGTTTGTTATAAAGGTTTCGTGGCTTAATGGGGAAGCATAGTTTGATGTAGTGAGTGAGTACATCATACTTACCATTGCCTGTACAGCATAGCCACGAACATTTACATACATAAATAAAAACTGGGCACAAACTGGTTGAATCAAGATTGTTTTAATGTAATTTGTCAACGTATTGTGAGGTGGAATCTATGAAATTTCAACCCCAGGATTATGACATCATGGTAACCAATTTTCAACATAGACAAACCTTGTATAAAATATGTTGAATTTGTACCTTTGAAACAACGTCACATCTTCAACGTTATAACCACTATCAGGAAGAGAAAAAAAACAATAGGCTGAACAGCATCTACTGGAGAATTGATCTATCAACAGTTACACTTCTGGTCTCTCAACCAGGGTTTTAACTGATCCCCAGCCCTGCTTGGCTTTGACATTTGCCACTGACTACTACCAATGTGCTATCGTGAGAATGATTATTGAGAATCCTCCACTTTAAAATGTTATAGATTGACTATTGCTACCGAAGTCATTTCAAAGAGTATGTTTAACAGAGCAAATCAAATGTTACCATACTTTATGAATCATACTGTATATCATCAATAATACTTTTTAGGTATATATACAGTGGGGAGAACAAGTATTTGATACACTGCCGAATTGCAGGTTTTCCTACTTACAAAGCATGTAGAGGTCTGTAATTTTTATCATAGGTACACTTCAACTGTGAGAGACGGAATCTAAAACAAAAATCCAGAAAATCACATTGTATTATTTTTAAGTAATTAATTTGCATTTTATTGCATGACATAAGTATTTGATACATCAGAAAAGCAGAACTTAATATTTGGTACAGAAACCTTTGTTTGCAATTACAGAGATCATAAGATTCCTGTAGGTCTTGACCAGGTATGCACACACTGCAGCAGGGATTTTGGCCCACTCGTCCATACAGACCTTCTCCAGATCCTTCAGGTTTCGGGGCTGTTGCTGGGCAATACGGACTTTCAGCTCCCTCCAAAGATTTTCTATTGGGTTCAGGTCTGGAGACTGGCTAGGCCACTCCAGGACCTTGAGATGCTTCTTACGGAGCCACTCCTTAGTTGCCCTGGCTGTGTGTTTCGGGTCGTTGTCATGCTGGAAGACCCAGCTACGACCCATCTTCAATGCTCTTACTGAGGGAAGGAGGTTGTTGGCCAAGATCTCACGATACATGGCCCCATCCATCCTCCCCTCAATACGGTGCAGTCGTCCTGTCCCCTTTGCAGAAAAGCATCCCCAAGAATGATGTTTCCACCTCCATGCTTCACGGTTGGGATGGTGTTCTTGGGGTTGTACTCATCCTTCTTCTTCCTCCAAACACGGCGAGTGGAGTTTAGACCAAAAAGCTCAATTTCTGTCTCATCAGACCACATGACCTTCTCCCATTCCTCCTCTGGATCATCCAGATGGTCATTGGCAAACTTCAGACGGGCCTGGACATGCGCTGGCTTGAGCAGGGGGACCTTGCGTGCGCTGCAGGATTTTAATCCATGACGGCGTAGTGTGTTACTAAGGGTTTTCTTTGAGACTGTGGTCCCAGCTCTCTTCAGGTCATTGACCAGGGCCTGCCGTGTAGTTCTGGGCTGATCCCTCACCTTCCTCATGATCATTGATGCCCCACGAGGTGAGATCTTGCATGGAGCCCCAGACCGAGGGTGATTGACCGTCATCTTGAACTTCTTCCATTTTCTAATAATTGCGCCAACAGTTGTTGCCTTCTCACCAAGCTGCTTGCCTATTGTCCTGTAGCCCATCCCAGCGTTGTGCAGGTCTACAATTTTATCCCTGATGTCCTTACACAGCTCTCTGGTCTTGGCCATTGTGGAGAGGTTGAAGTCTGTTTGATTGAGTGTGTGGACAGGTGTCTTTTATACAGGTAATGAGTTCAAACAGGTGCAGTTAATACGGGTAATGAGTGGAGAACAGGAGGGCTTCTTAAAGAAAAACTAACAGGTCTGTGAGAGCCGGAATTCTTACTGGTTGGTAGGTGATCAAATACTTATGTCATGCAATAAAATGCAAATTAATTACTTAAAAATCATACAATGTGATTTTCTGGATTTTTGTTTT